CAGCCGGCGGCTTCACTCGGGACCGACGTGGAATGGAATTATGTTCCCATGTGTTCCGAACGACATTGCACTGACATGCGCTCCGGCAGTGTTGTTGGTCTTGGGTCTCCAAGATCGTTCTTGCGGGAAATTATCCGGACCATGTGTCACATGAACTTCTGATAGCCTTTGGGGCAGGTTGGCCTGGGTGACTGGTGGCGGTCCAACTTCGTTAGGAACGAATCTTGTGTGGGGCCTGGGAAGGGGCTTAAGTTCTTGCGGGTGGACAGGCTCCAAATTCCGAGTGCTATCAAAACAAAGCAAAAATGAAGTAAACATAGCCGCATCGTAGCTCTTATGACAGGCCGCGACCTGGTTGGTCCCACTGGGAACCGCCCTTTAACTTAGCAACACTGGTTTAACCGTTGTCCGGTGTTTTGCTTATTTTGACCGAACCACGACGGTGAATAGCGATGCCTCAGTTCCCATCTAGGTCACGTGACGGATGGCTGGGCTCAGCGGTCGTCAGATTTATACAGAACGCCTGCCCTTGGCACCGGGTGCCAGAGTGTCACCCCTTAAGCGGTTAGTTGATTCGCCTCGGAAAGTCGACCTGTGCCACCTCTTGTCAGTGAGTCAGCAATGTTTCGGCGGTGTTTGTGGTAGTACGGCTTTTATACGGCTGGTATTTTTAGCCAGCGTTGATAGCCGTGTCTGACCTGTTCTGGGCTACCATTTCGATGTTCGCAGCATGCAACCACCGAAAACAGAGATAATAATCGTGGTAAAAATCGCGCAACGCCCATTGACCTATGCTCAAGCCAACGAACTTGCTACGGACTCGATCAACAAAATTGTTAAGAAGTCCCAGTCGTGAATGCCAAACCACCTAAGGCAACTCTGACCTGACCTGACCCGATGTGCACTGACCTAGGTCATTTGTGTTAATGCCGTTTCTGTTAATGCCTGGGATGCCACGGCCAGCACGCCGGACTGTTCGTCCAGCACCACGCCTGTGCCGCGCAGCCGGGCGGCCCGGCCGTTCGTTGGCTCCCCGGCGCCATCCTGACCCGGCCCGTCCCCACACTGACCCGGCTCGTCGCCGCCCTGACCCGGTCCGCCGCCGCCCTGACCCGGCCCGCCGCCTCCCTGGTCCGGTCCGCCGCCGCCATGACCCGCCTGTCGCCGCCCTGACCCGGCCCGCCGCCGCCCTGGTCAGGCCCGTCGCCGCCCTGACCCGACCCACCGCCGCCCTGACCCGGTCCCGCCCGCCGCCCTGACCCGCCGCCGCCGCCCTGACCCGGCCCGCCGCCGCCCTGACCCGGCCCGTTGCCGCTCTGGTCCGGTCCGTCGCCGCCCTGGTCCGGCCCGTTGCCGCCCTGACCCGGTCCGCCCGCCGCCCTGACCCGGTCCGCCGCCACCCTGGTCCGGCCCGGCGCCGCCCTGACCCCGCCCGCCGCCGTCCTGGTCCGGTCCGTCGCCGCCCTGACCCGGCCCGCCGCCGCCGCCAGTTCTCCATGGGCGAGTTCCGCTGGGTCAGCTACGTGGAGTTCGCCGAGCGGGCCGAGTGGTTCGGCCGGGCGCTGCGCGAGGTGGGGCTGCAGCCGGGCGACCGTCTGGTCATCTTCGCCGAGACTCGCGCCGAGTGGCTGATCGCCGCCGTCGGCGCCTTCTTCCAGAACATCACCGGTGCGTGTCGTCGGCGCGCGCGCGCCCGCCCGCCGCTGCGCGCCGGGTTCAGAGCTTAACGGCACCAGTCTGTGAGGGTCTGGGAGCGCTGGCGGTGCCGGACGCCGGCCCTGCTGTCCTCCGACGGCAAGAGGACAGTGTCCTCCTCTGAGCGCGACCGAGACCGACGGCGTGCTTCGAAAGGCAGTCAGCTGGGCTGGAAAGCTCGGGCAGTCACAAGTTGTTTGAAACGCTTTAAAGTGTGCTGCTTCGTCGAAATCGCGGATGATGTGCATGGTGAAATGATGGGATTTCTTTTGCTGCCGGCTGTAATGAAGCCACGTGTCATTTCGGGTATCATTTGCGGAAATGCCAATAGCTTAAAAGCCGGAGTGGCTCGGTGAGTCACCAATAAGTCATCCCGTGGCATACGTTTATCGGCAGAAAGAACGACATTGCTCATCGGAGTGTTCGTGGCCCGAACCTAAGCAATCAGTTGGTGCTGATTCGTCGCATTGTGTATGTGCCCATAAATGGCCACAAATATGGAGTGTGCGTACGAGGTTTGAATAAGTGGTGTGATGGTGGTTCAGCTTTAGATAATCTTTGTCATATCCGTCGGCGTATTTGACTCTAAAGTCCAGCAGTGCGGCGGCCTCGAGCGAAGGTCATCACGATTGTGCCAGGAAAAAGGTCCGCCGCTCGCTGAACTCCAGGTCGGATCTCACCAGCCAAAACATGCTGGTCGCTGTCCCTGGAGCGGCATGTAAACGCGATGGAGCCTGTTGCAGTGGTGACCCTGTACGCGACCCTGGGCGAGGACGCCATCGTCCACGGTATCTCGGAGACGGAGGTCACGCACGTCGTCACCTCTCACGACCTCATCAAGAAGATACAGCCGGTGCTGGCCAAATGCGACAAGGTCACGCACCTGGTGTACATGAAGGACCAGGTGAGCTCTGCCGTTCTCGTTGCGGTCCGGTTTAGTCAGCCAGCTCAACGCTGTTCCTCTTCAGGCTTCTTCAGGCTAAAGGAACTATAACGAAATGACGGTTTTGATGGGCATAGTTTTCTGTCGCAATGACCGCACAGTTCGAAAAACATCGCAGTTGTAAACACACAGTTCAAATGAAAAAGATGGATTCCTACTAGAATGTTTCATGAACACGCAGTTGCTCGCTAGAACCAATGGTATAATGTTGTATGAAGACACAGCTGCTTGTTAGAACCAATGATAGAGTGTTTTATGAACACGCAGTTGCTCGCTAGAACCAATGATCGAATGTTGTACGAACACACAGTTGCTTCCTAGAACCAATGATAGAATGTTTTATGAACACACAGTTGCTTGCTATAACCAATGATGCCAGCTTGTACGCCACGGTCCGTGCGAAATCACTCGATGATTTACGAAGCAAAATGCTGATCGACGTGTCTGCTGCACTGTTCTGTTTGCCCCAAAATCGATGTGCTCCGCTGTTTCAGCTGCAGAAAGGCCCTCCCAGAATACGCTGATCAGTGACAAAACAGTCGGGTCCTTGGCTTGGTTAGCTGGATGATTACCGTTGTGCGTGTGCTGCCGTCTGTTCACGCACATGTGTGTTCCCGTGCATCAGCTTAGTGACACAGACGTTTCCGGCATTCGAGACGGCATCAGGACCGTGCCGTTCCCAGAGATGCTGAAGATCGGACAGCAGTCCAGCGTCGCTAACAACGTCCCGACCAGCAAGGACATCGCCATCATCATGTGCGTGGACGGGCGCTGCGTCCGGCCGGCGCCGCGTGTGGCGAGCCTGGGGGTCCCCGGCCGCGGGCGTGGTATCCGAGCCACGGTCTGATGCCCGCGCTGGTGCGGAGGGCGGGCAGCCCTGGGAACAACCGCTTCCCTGAAGAGCCGCGGAGTCGTTCGCAGCGGATAGACGTGGGTTGCAGCAGCAATGCAGATGGATCACCGCTTAAGAACGGGCAGTTTTGATCGTCCAGTGTCTGCCATCACACGATTGTATCACTCGCAAACAGGGTCCCGTTCCATCAGCCTGCTGTGAGATACCGCGCGCCAGCTGAGCAGCAGCCAGCCGCGCCGCCGCGCTGTTGACGGCAGCTGGCGGGACGTCGGACGCCCCTCACCGTCCCCCCCCCCCCCGCCCCAGGTACACCTCGGGCTCCACGGGCACGCCCAAGGGCGTGCTGCTCTCGCACCACAACATGGTGACGACGATGGTCGGGTTTGCCGTGGCGGTGCGCGTCAACTCGGACGACGTCTACCTCGGCTACCTGCCGCTGGCGCACGTGCTCGAGCTGATGGCAGGTGGGCTGCCGCGCGCGGCTGTTGACGCCGACATGGAGGCCGCGTCGGCCTGCCAAGCCCGGAGAGGGTCGCTACGGCAGCGGTGGCCAACCGCGCTGCCTGGCTGCTGCCTTCAGTTGGTGTTGCTTTGTCTGCGATCCGCACTGTTTTGGCCTCAGCCCGTGCTAATGTGTGGCTCGACGCTGTGATGTGATTAGATCCAGTCTATGCGGGGTGCGTCATGACCTTGCGAGCTCTGCGCGCCTCCGGCCATGATCCTGACGTGTCGGTTTCCGACTCGGTGCCCCAACTTGGTCTGCCGACCAAGCGCCTAGGCTCAACAAACCGTGGCAGCTGCCTGTTCGGCAGACCCCCCCCCCCCCTCCCCCTGGTGAAACAGGCCGCACCCCGTGCCTTACCCTGCCCTCCACGCTCCTCTCCCGGCCTGTCGCACGCAGCCTTGCCTCGTTCCACCCACCCTCGTCCTGTCCTGTCCTGTCCTGTCCTGTCCTGTCTGTCCTGTCCTGTCCTGTCCCTGTCCTGCCCTGTCCTCCCTGCCCTGTCCTGCCCTGCCCTGCCCTGCCCTGCCCTGCCCTGCCCTGCCCTGCCCTGCCTGTCCTGCCTGCCCTGCCCTGCCCTGCCCTGCCCTGTCCTGCCCTGCCCTACTCCGCCCTAACCCGGCCCGCTCTGACTCGGCCGTCGCGTCGCCAGAGATGTGCTGCATCATGTTCGGCGTGCCGATCGGGTACAGTTCGCCGCTGACGCTGATGGACTCGTCGAGCAAGGTGAAGCGCGGCTGCCGGGGCGACTCCTCCGTGCTACGGCCCACCATGATGGCCGCCGTGCCCATGGTGCTCGACCGCGTCGCCCAGGTGAGGGATCTCGGGCCTCTGCTGGCGGCACCGCCCTGGTCGGCCCGGGGAGCCCCTCTCCCTCTCCCTCGCCACGTGCGCGACTCGACGGCACCAGAGGCATGATCGTTTGCTCCTGGAAGGCGGAGACGTGATGTCGGCGGAGTTCCGAGTGGTGATGACCCCCAGCACACGTGATACCAGCTCACACCGCCTAACCCCGACGAGTCACCGGCAGTTGACAGCCTCGGTGCCACCTCTGCAGCCCCGGTGCGGACGCGGCACGGGCTGCCAGGATCGGCGAAGCTGGTCGAGATTTTGATATTGCATATGCTGTGTGAAAATATGGAGTTATGTGCCACGGGTGAGGAGGAGAGAAGAAGAAGTAAGAAGAGGGTGTTTGAGCAATCCCAGGAATACAGATAAGCGGTGGTGCATGGTCCTGCGATTTGTATTTCTTTCGCAATGAGTCCGCTGCGAGCATAATAACAGCGCAAGAAAAACTGCAGTGCACAATAGTTTGCCTCGGCCGGACGGGATTTTGGCAGGAAGAGTTACGTCTTCTGTACTTAGGAATTCACTTGCTGCATACCTACATGTACGAGTTAGTAGATCTGGGCCTAACCACACCCATGTATTATGCCTGAAACGCACCGCACCATCTGCGTTTGTCTCACCACTGTTATGGGCACTCACCCGGAAGCTGAAGTAACACTCAGAGCATAGGATCTCCGGATTTTTGCTCGCCTGACCTCCCGCCTCGGCTTAACACCTTCACAGGATTCACTTATCACACTCGCCGCTCTGAGGTCTTCCGGAGGGATGTGGCGGGAGCCGTTTCCATGGCCATTTTCCATGCATTTCTAGGGGTTACGTGGGTTAATAATGTCTGAAAGTTGCAGAGAAGTCCCAACGCAAAGCTCCCAGAAAATGAAGCGCCGACCATTGATCACCTGCCAGGAACGATCCCATTCCCCCTGCAGGCCGCGCAACGCTGTTAAACCAACATCATGCTGAGTGGAAACGACCCCTGCTGAACGTTGGCAGATAATTGGAAAGTGCGATCGTGTCAGCTCAACTTAAGCCACGTTTTACTTCACTTTCACCGTGCCACGCGTGGTCGTTGACCTGGCAGTGAGTCCGATGTGGTGGCCTGTGACCTCTCGCCGTGCCCTGGCCGCTGCGAGCATGTGAGGCGCCGGCCGGTGACCCGGTCGCCGCCGCCGCCGCCAGGGGCTGGAGGAGAAGATGCAGGCGTCCGGTCCGTTCGTGCAGGCGCTGTTCCGCTGGGCCGTCCAGTACCGCAACACGTGGCGTCGGCGCGGCTTCGATACGCCCATACTGCACCAGTGGGTGGCCGACGCAGCCGGCGCGCGCTCAGCCAAGATCACGGCCCGTGCATTGCCTACGAGCTGATACGATTCCTGAGTCATTGAAACTGAAATATCTTGCGGCGGTTGTCGGGGTGCCGTGTGAAATATGTGGACGACGCATGTGGCTCCAGGTTGTGTCTTGGCATTTGACGTCTGCCGTGCCGTGGACCGCACCCCTTTCGTTCGCGGGGTGCAGGGGGAGAGAGAGAGAGAGAGAGAGAGAGAGAGAGAGAGAGAGAGAGAGAGAGAGAGAGAGAGAGAGAGAGAGAGAGAGAGAGCGGGAGCGGGAGCGGGAGCGGGAGCGGGAGCGGGAGCGGGAGCGGGAGCGGAGCGGGAGCGGGAGCGGGAGGGAGCGGGAGCGGGAGCGGGAGCGGAGCGGGAGCGGGGAGCGGGAGCGGAGCGGGGGACGGGGAGCGGGGAGCGGGAGCGGGAGGCGGAGAGGAGCGGGAGGCGGGAGCGGGAGCGGGAGCGGGAGCGGGAGCGGGAGCGGGAGCGGGAGCGGGAGCGGGGAGCGGGAGCGGGGAGCGGGAGCGGGAGCGGGACGGGGAGCGGGAGCGGGAGCGGGAGCGGGAGCGGGAGCGGGGAGCGGGAGCGGGAGCGGGAGCGGGAGCGGAGCGGAGCAGAGGAGAGAGAGAGAGAGAGAGAGAGAGAGAGAGAGAGAGAGAGAGAGAGAGAGAGAGAGAGAGAGAGAGAGAGGAGAGAGCTGCGCAAAGGGTGTGGGGAGTGAGGTGGGAGCCTGCCATATCAACAGAGCTGTTCGTGGTGCTGTTGAAGAACGTTCGCATGAAGCCTGCC